TCATTGCTACTTCATAACTGTAATTTTGCTACTGTTATGAATCGGGTGATCCCTGTGAAAGGGTCATTTGACCCCCAAGGGGGTCGCGACCCACAGGTTGAGAACCGCTGCTCTAGATTGTGAGCTTCTTTTCCAGGACAAGGTCTTGCCTTTATCTGAGAAGCTGGGTGGCCAAACCCAGTACGTGGCACCCAGGATGTTCTTGATAATTGATGGCCAGATAAATACATTTAAGTTTGTCTCTAAAAAAAACCCCCACTGCTACTAAGTTGATTCCCACCTATAGCGACCCTGTAAGACCAAGTACAACAGCTTCAAGGTTTCCAAGCCTTATCTTGTCCCCGGAAAAGCTGCTGGTGGGGTCAAACTGCGAACCTTGCCCTTAACATCCCAACGCTTAGCCCACTGGGAAAGTTTGAGAGTGATCACAGCTGAGCTTGCTAGTCATAATTGTGAGGTTCGTGGTCCTCGGCAGTGATGCGTGCCAAAACCAGGCCTGCTTCAAGTCATGATCTGGTGAATGGCTTCTTCTGTGTGGCAGGCTCTGATCCTCGTCACAGCACTATGAGGGAGGTGGTATAACAAATGTACCCCTCCGACAGGTGAAGAAACAGGCATAGAGAATCGCCTCCCTAAATCTGACTCTGGAGCCAATGATTGTAATCCCCATACCACCTGCTTGGGGAGGGTGGTGATCAAAACTGTATTCCCCAATCTGCCCCTGTGCAGGAGCTCTGGTGGAGCACTGGGTTAGGAATTGGGCTGCTAATCACAAAGTGAGTGGTTCAAACCCGCTAATTGCTCAAGGGAGAAAGATGAAGCTTTCTGTTTGCATAAAGATTTATAGTCTCAGAACCCCACCGGAGCAGTACTACTCTGTCGCATAGGGTCACTGTGAGTCGGGATTGCTGAGCAAATCAGAGTAGCTGAATTATATGAAGACGAGTGTGGGCATCGGGATTTGGAGGAAGGCTTATTAGCAATCTGCAATATGCAGATAACAGAACCTTGCTTGCTGAAAGTGAGGAGAACTTGAAGCACTTGCTGATGAAGATCAGGGATTGTAGCCTTCAGTATGGATTGCAACTCAATATAAATAAGACCAAAGTCCTCACAACTGGTAACATCATGATAAATGGAGGAAAAGTTGAAGTTGTCAAGGATTTTGTCTTACGTGGATCCACAATCAATGCTCATGGAAGCAGTGGTCAAGAGATTAAAAGATACATTGTATTAGATAAATCTGTGGCACCAGACCTCTTTAGAGATTGAAGAGCCAGGATGTTACTTTGAGGATTAAGGCGCCCCTGACCCAAGCCATGC